TGATAAATTCGAGGGCACAGCAGCCGGGAACGACGTAATGGTGCTGTGGCCTATCCTTTTTTGTTGACTCTCCCAGACTACCTTGCGACTTGTGGGTAGGGATTTCCACAGATCAATAAATGCATTGCGATTAAGGACAACAAGCCGAAAACTGTGGAAATCAAAGTTCAACGCACGGAACGAGTAGAAAGACGTGAGCAGTATGATAGCAAGGATTGGCTTAACAACAACGACACCTACGCCATGCCAAAGTCTGTTATCAGCCAAGCTTCTTTTGGTATTCTGTTAATATAATGTCCTTATTTCAGGATGCAGCCTACATTTGGGTCGCGGTCATCGTTGGCGACGTCGCAAGCTCGGGGCGAGTCCAGCGACATTGACTTCAGTTGGATTCGTGAAGAGGAGAATAAGTTAAAGAATGAACGAGGTGAGCAAACTGATCGGGCCGAAGCTTACCCAACGACTTCTGGGACGTTTTTAATTCCTTAATTTGTTTCTTTGCAGAGAACACAAAACGCTTGCCAGAATGCTACTTCGGTATGGATCCTCCCAAATTGGAGGACACACCGATCACTTCACACACTCGCTCGGAGCGCGATGAAAAGGAGAATTATCGTAGTGTAGGCAACGTGCGCAACACCGCGGCCGCATTCGAAAATGAGCTGAGGGAAAAACGAGAGCAGGTCAGTGTTTCAATAGTGACCAGGGCAAATTTCGAGTCCATGCTTACCCACCTCATGCAAGATTCCTCATCCTCAGTCCTCAACACTTTCGATCCTTGCTATGGTAATTTTGGATAATCTTACCTACGACCTACCTCCTCCTCTTTCCATCTCGGAGAAGTTGGTCTCCAGAATTTTTAAATGCTGTGGAGAATTCTTTTTCTAGGAACGTTTCCTTCCTGTGTTTTCTAAAATACATTATCCATCCCACAAATACGCTACACCTCAGTACAAGCCCCCACTCCACATCCGAAACACAGATTTGGAACTTTGAAAACAAGTTTTGTTCACAACCCAGCATTCTTGTGAAACATTCGCAAGGCGAACTGCGGCCAAAAACAGCAGTTAACAAACAAAAACACAGATTCGACCCATATTCCGATTTGGCATTACCCAACGGACAGCTGACCCTGATAGTAACCAAAACAAATACATTTCTCGATATTACCTGTTTATAATGTATTTCAAAGTTCTCCAAAATTATGCGCAAGCTTTTAATTCAGTCGAATGAAGGCTGAAAATGATCCACGGTTCAGGGACTACTTTCTAAGTTCACCACTATGTAGTTCCACTCCGCCATTCACTTGCTGCTTGGTGCTTCCGTATACTTCTCCTATCACGGATGCTTCCTTAGTTGTATCGAAGCAATAATTACAACTATTATGAGATAAACCCTAGAATGTTCAATCTTGGTCTTCTCGAGAGAGTTTGTCAATAGAGACTGTCTGACAGATATAACGCTATTGTCAGCTAAATGTAATGGACCAAGATGAAACTGACTGATGAGGTTCATATGACTAGGACTGTCGAGTTCAGAGCAAGACAATTACGAAATTGTTCCTTTGCACTCAGCCATTTTGAGGAAGACAAGACTAATTAATGATGCTTTCCATCGCCGCTGTTTCGAACGAGTTTTACGGTTCATTTCTTGAATTTAAGCAAGAGACATATTTCCTCTCGAGAAGACCAAAAATAAAGCTCATTGAGAGGCACTGTGGCAATGGTCCAAAACATGGGGTCTGGAAATGTCTTCTGAAAAAACTATGTCATGAGAATAGGAGCTAACTCTGAGGGTATTACCTTCCTACTCAATGGTCTCCCAATCAAGGAGCCCCTATTTGTAAGAGATCTCGGAATTAAATACGACAAAAACTTGTCTTTCGAGGAATACATCTTGAATATGATAAATATGGCCAAGTCGCGATCTAATTTCATCATTCGAGCTTTCTCAACTAGACATATGTATAATACCAGTTTGGCTGCGCACGCATTCGCGTGCATGAGACGGGGCTGCAGCGGTAAAATCGGGCCCATCAGTATTTTTGTCTTGATTTTAGCTTTCTGCTCGGTACATCTTACTTACGCCGCAAACTCCGCCCACATCCGGGTGTGCCACGCCCAGCGTTCACATTCAACCTCTACTCCTACTTTCACCTCAGGCATATTTTTTTTCAGGTCTCTAAGTCATCTCGGAGCCGAATTATGAGGTCTTGTAAATGGCGTTATGAGTCACGAATTTCTGAGGCAGACCCCGCCCACTTTGGTGCATGGTTAGCCCAACAATGGCATTCAACCCTACTCCATACCTCAATACTTATGCACATTTTCCCCGGTCGCCGGAACTTCTAGGAACCGAGTTATGAGAGCGGTGGCAAACTCCGCCCACATCCGGGTGTGCCACGCCCAGCGTTCACATTCAACCTCTACTCCTACTTTCACCTCTGGCATATTTTTTTCAGGTCTCTAAGTCATCTCGGAGCCGAATTATGAGGTCTTGTAAATGGCGTTATGAGTCACGAATTTCTGAGGCAGACCCCGCCCACTTTGGTGCATGGTTAGCCCAACAATGGCATTCAACCCTACTCCATACCTCAATACTTATGCACATTTTCCCCGGTCGCCGGAACTTCTAGGAACCGAGTTATGAGAGCGGTGGCAAACTCCGCCCACATCCGGGTGTGCCACGCCCAGCGTTCACATTCAACCTCTACTCCTACTTTCACCTCAGGCATATTTTTTTCAGGTCTCTAAGTCATCTCGGAGCCGAATTATGAGGTCTTGTAAATGGCGTTATGAGTCACGAATTTCTGAGGCAGACCCCGCCCACTTTGGTGCATGGTTAGCCCAACAATGGCATTCAACCCTACTCCATACCTCAATACTTATGCACATTTTCCCCGGTCGCCAGAACTTCTAGGAACCGAGTTATGAGCGGTGGCAAACTCCGCCCACATCCGGGTGTGCCACGCCCAGCGTTCACATTCAACCTCTACTCCTACTTTCACCTCAGGCATATTTTTTTCAGGTCTCTAAGTCATCTCGGAGCCGAATTATGAGGTCTTGTAAATGGCGTTATGAGTCACGAATTTCTGAGGCAGACCCCGCCCACTTTGGTGCATGGTTAGCCCAACAATGGCATTCAACCCTACTCCATACCTCAATACTTATGCACATTTTCCCCGGTCGCCGGAACTTCTAGGAACCGAGTTATGAGAGCGGTGGCAAACTCCGCCCACATCCGGGTGTGCCACGCCCAGCGTTCACATTCAACCTCTACTCCTACTTTCACCTCAGGCATATTTTTTTTCAGGTCTCTAAGTCATCTCGGAGCCGAATTATGAGGTCTTGTAAATGGCGTTATGAGTCACGAATTTCTGAGGCAGACCCCGCCCACTTTGGTGCATGGTTAGCCCAACAATGGCATTCAACCCTACTCCATACCTCAATACTTATGCACATTTTCCCCGGTCGCCGGAACTTCTAGGAACCGAGTTATGAGAGCGGTGGCAAACTCCGCCCACATCCGGGTGTGCCACGCCCAGCGTTCACATTCAACCTCTACTCCTACTTTCACCTCAGGCGTATTTTTTTCAGGTCTCTAAGTCATCTCGGAGCCGAATTATGAGGTCTTGTAAATGGCGTTATGAGTCACGAATTTCTGAGGCAGACCCCGCCCACTTTGGTGCATGGTTAGCCCAACAATGGCATTCAACCCTACTCCATACCTCAATACTTATGCACATTTTCCCCGGTCGCCGGAACTTCTAGGAACCGAGTTATGAGAGCGGTGGCAAACTCCGCCCACATCCGGGTGTGCCACGCCCAGCGTTCACATTCAACCTCTACTCCTACTTTCACCTCAGGCATATTTTTTTCAGGTCTCTAAGTCATCTCGGAGCCGAATTATGAGGTCTTGTAAATGGCGTTATGAGTCACGAATTTCTGAGGCAGACCCCGCCCACTTTGGTGCATGGTTAGCCCAACAATGGCATTCAACCCTACTCCATACCTCAATACTTATGCACATTTTCCCCGGTCGCCGGAACTTCTAGGAACCGAGTTATGAGAGCGGTGGCAAACTCCGCCCACATCCGGGTGTGCCACGCCCAGCGTTCACATTCAACCTCTACTCCTACTTTCACCTCAGGCATTTTTTTTCAGGTCTCTAAGTCATCTCGGAGCCGAATTATGAGGTCTTGTAAATGGCGTTATGAGTCACGAATTTCTGAGGCAGACCCCGCCCACTTTGGTGCATGGTTAGCCCAACAATGGCATTCAACCCTACTCCATACCTCAATACTTATGCACATTTTCCCCGGTCGCCGGAACTTCTAGGAACCGAGTTATGAGAGCGGTGGCAAACTCCGCCCACATCCGGGTGTGCCACGCCCAGCGTTCACATTCAACCTCTACTCCTACTTTCACCTCAGGCATATTTTTTTCAGGTCTCTAAGTCATCTCGGAGCCGAATTATGAGGTCTTGTAGGGGACGAAATCGAGCTACGTATCTTTGTGGCAAACCCCGCCCACTTTGGTGCGTGGGTCGCCCACTGATATCAGTCGGCTATCATCTCTTCCCCAACCTTTTTCTACTTTTCTCCCATCTCTGGAACTTATTGGAACCGAGTTATGAAGTACCGTGGCAAACCCGCCCACTTTGGTGCATGCTCCGCCCGCCAACAACGGTTGACCCCTTTCCTCTCTGCCAACCCTCACACGCTTTTTTCCCGGACTCGGGACTCCTAGGAACCGAGTTATAAGCCTAATTGCAAACTCCGCCCACTTTGATGTAAGCCACGCCCTTCCCTGACATTTAGCTTCCCCTCCCCTCCTGACCTCTATCCGTTGTTTTCCGGTCTCTAAGTCATCTCGGAGCCGATTTATGAGCTCTTGTAGAAAATGCTGTCCGCTTCACGACACGCTCCGCCCATTGTGGGCGGGCCTCCGTTCACATCATGCGTGGTGGAAATACCTTAGGCATTGCTCCCCTGCACTAATTTCGTTTCTGGTCTGTAGGCTTCCTCTTAACCGAGTTATGAATATTTTCACTGAGCACCCATTTTCTAGAGAACGCCCCGCCCACCGAGGGTGGGTCTCCTCAGTTCGATCTGGCTTACCAACCCACACCTATGCCCACTTTTGTCCCGGTCTCGAGGCTGTTTTGTGACTGAATTTGAAATCAACCGATGCACGCCACGCCCACTGTGGGCGGGGCTCCGCTTGGCTGATGTGTGTTTTTTACTTCTAGGGATATGGTATACCCATCCCAAACTTGACCTGGACCCTGTAGGTTGTTGTTCGCTTGATACCGAATTTCGTGACAGACGGACAGACAGACATAGCGCATTATATATAGTAGGGATACCTGTTTTCACTCTATTCACTACTTACGTTAGGCCTCTGCTAGAGTACTGTGCGCCTATCTGGTCCCCATCAACTCGATACCTTGTGGGCCAAATTGAGCAGGTTCAAATGAAATTCACTGAAAAAAAATATTCGCACGGGCAGGCTTTTTTCATGTACCATATGAAGATCGCCTCAATTATTTGTCCACAACGACACTTGAGATGAGAAGAAAGGTTTTGGACTACGATGTTATGTACAAGCTTACTTGGAGGGAGATCGATCTTGAGCTCGATACGCTTTTTAAGATATCTGGAACCATAGGCGTTACGCGAGGGCACCGCTTTAGAATGCTGAGGGAAAAGACTCACACAAGCGCGTATAGAAACAGCTTCTCGCAAAGGGTCATATCGTTTTGGAACACCTTGCCAGCCGAGGTA